TATGGTAGTGCTCCGTCATTTGCTAGTCGTATATCAGATGCCAGATCTCTAAAGGGAGGTAAAGTTCGTTTCGGATGTAGGACTATGGGTATACCTCAACCAGAAATACAATGGTAAGAACAAAACCTTTATGATTGTGGTTTATGGTGGGAATATGTGTGTCCTCATGGGATGATAACTCTTGTATTAAACAGATAGTAAAGAGGTTTTTCTAAATTTTGTATGTGTATGAGGGACACTGATAACATCAATTTGCACCATTCTAATTTTCAATCAGACATCTGTGGGTTTTGCAATTCCACTAAAACTAACTAACATCACTAATTGCAAAGAATCTTATATGATAAAGCATATTTGGCAATTAGTGATGTCATCAGACAGTTAGTGTCGATTGCTTAAGATATATGTCAAGATATGTCAACCGGGTTTCCCCCTGTCACTGCTGCATGTTGGAGGAGCTGACATGGAAAAAGCATCTGGTCACTCGGATGGGACAATAAACCGAGGCCCCATTTGCTACAGACTGAGCACTTTAAAGATCCTTGACAGTTGGAAATCGAAAAAGAGCAGGCTAATGTCGCTGTCCTGGTAAGATATCCCTCATTGCACCCTGCATGGCGTTGCCCGTCTTCATTAGCCCAATTAGAACGTAAAACTTCATTTCATTTCATTTGTTTAATTTTCTGTTTGTAAAATCCAGGTGTAAAGATGGACGACCATTAACCTCTACTGACCATGTCCAGATTGGACGTGATGCTACAGGTTTCTATTTGACTGTATCTGACGTAGCTCCAGAAGATGAAGGAGAATACAGCTGCACCATTAGAAATGACTCTGGTAAAGCTAGCTGTTCTGCCAGATTACAAATTGGAGGTATGGAGAGAAATATTATTACATAACCTACACCCCTTATCAATAAGTAAATGCGACTGTGGGTTGATTGATCAAAATAGCTTTGTTTGAGGTGATGCACAAAGGGCTGTTCATCACCTATTCCCATTTTGAACTTGTGTTCATTTTTACAAAACAAACAATAAAAGTAGCTGCATATAAGCCTGTTGATTGGATAGTTTGAAAATCATGTATTTTTATTTCAGTTCCTAATACAAGAATTTCCTACTAAAGTGAAACAGATAAAAGTATATGACAGACATCTCGAAAGACAAGAATTACCTAGGCAATGTTGATCTCTGCATTGACCTCTAGATTGATCTCTACATTGACCTCTAGATTGATCTCTACATTGTTTTCTATATTGATCTCTAAATTGATCTCTAGATTGACCTCGAGATTGATCTCCGCATTGATCTCAAACACAGTCTTGGGCACAGGATCATCAACCTTATGGTGTATGTAATGTGATTATATTGATTTTGATTTTTTTTGTAGATCCACAACCTACCCTGACATATCAATATATGCCTAAAGATAGGAAGAAATTCTCACCTAGTTTCGAGACAGTTGACACTGCTCCTCCTGTCAGAAGAACATTTGTAGAGCTTGCTCCTGATGGTAAGGCTTCTATTATCATGGTTCCCAATTTTTGGTAGAAATGATTGTTCTGATATGCATCTAGACTGTGCATACTCAAAACTTTGCTTTCCTTTTATGGGCAGAATTGCTCAAAACACAGAGTTCATCTGTCATCATGTTTTCTTAGTTATGAATTATCATTTCTATTACAGAGAAAGTACCTACAATGCCAATCGGTAAACCATCGTTACTGGAAGTGAAGGCTGACGGTGCTAAGTTGTCATGGTTACCA